TTTTCTTTAATAAATCTGATATGACAAGTAAGTAGTGGAATTAATTTGTGACTTTCACACTTCATATTTATTTTACTTTTTTTACCCTGTTCATTTAGGCTTTTGTGTTGATTATAGTTATGAAGAATTTCAAATGCACCTGTCTGAAAATGTTGTAGAAAGTTATGATAATGCTGCAGTAAAACATAATAAAAATCTGATTATAACTAGCAAATAGTGGAATTAATGTAGTGGCTTTCGTGTTTTATATTAATTTTACTTTTTTACCTTGTTCTAAACTCTTTTTAGGCTTTTATTTTGATAGTAAGAAAGAATTTCAAACATCCTTTTCTAAAAGTGATGTGAAAAGTTATGATAATACCACAGTAGAATGTAACGAAAATTTGATTACAAGTAAGCAAGTGTCTTTTATGCTTTCAAATTATTTTACTATATTTTTTCTAAATTCTTTTTAGACTTTTATGTTGATAGTAATGAAGAATTTCGAATAACCATTTCTAAAAGTAACATGGAAAGATATGATAATGCTACAATAAAATATAATAAAAATCTGATTACAACAAGTAAGCAGTGAAATTAATGTAGTAGCTTTTGTGATTTATATTTATTTTACTTTTTTTCCTTTGTTCTAAATACTTTTAGGTCTTTACATTAATAGTAATAAAGAATTTCAAAAACTTCTAATGTACCTTTCTAAAAGTGTTGTAGCAAGTGATGATAATATCACAGCAGAATGTAACGAAAATTTAAGTAAGTAATGGAATTAATGTAGTGGCTTTTATGTATTATATTTATTTTACCTTTTCTACCTTCTTTTTAGGCTTTTATATTGATAGTAATAAATTTCAAATATACCTTCCTAAAAGTAATTATAATGCCGCAGTAGAACATAATGAAAATCTGATTATGACAAGTAGTAAAATTAATGTAGTAGCTTTCATGTTTATATTTATTTAACTATTTTTACCTTGTCATAAATCCTTTTAGACTTTTATTTTGATAATTATGAAAAATTCCAAACATACCTTTCTAAAAGTGTTGTGGAAAGTGATAATAATACTAAAGTAGAATGTAACGATAATTCTCCAGTAGAATGTAATGATAACTCTGCAGAAGAATATGTTGAAAACTTTACAGAATCCATTGTTAACCAAAATTTTTACGCAAAATCAACACAAGAAAGTACAGGATCATCAGATACTATTCATAAAGATACCATTAATATTAACGTTGGAGACACTTTTTATTCTTGGGAAATTGCAGAAACTCATCTTAATCAATATGCAAGGTCTGCTAGATTTTGTATACATCGTAAACGAGTTAAGATTGATAATAATGGAGTTGTTCGTCGACAAACATTTGAGTGTAGTTTTTCAGGAGAGTCAATTCCCAATCAAGTAATTGATCCAACACAATAACGTCAATGGCCATCTAGAAAAATTGGGTACTCATGGCACATAAACTTAACAATGTCTAAAGCTTTTTCAGAAGTAGGAATTACAAGTATCATTGGGCAGTATAATCATTTTATGGTATCTGATTTAGCTTTGCATGCATCCAAATACCGCAGACTATCAAATGAAATAATGGAACAAATTAAGTTTTATGTCACTAAGGGAAACATAGAATCAAAACAAATATATTCCTTGCTATCTGCAAGTTTTCCAAATCAAATAATATGTAAGCGAAACCTTTATAATGTGATTTAGAAATTTAAGGCCCCTTTTGTCAAACATCAAGGAGATGCTCAGCATATGGTTAATAAGTTGATTGATTTGCAAAAAAAGAAAGCAGGCTGGGTAATTAAAACAAGGCTTGACCCATTCGATAATTGACTTGCAGGGTTGTTTTGGGTGTCTTCTGCTTAACAACAATATCTAATATGATATAATAATGTTGTGCAAATAGATAATATATGTTAAACCAACTGGTTCAACATGTATTTAACTCTTCTGATCGTCATTGATAATAATACTAAAACCCAACTCGCTGCTTAATGCTTATCAAATGATGAAACAACTGAAAGTTATGAGCAGTTTCTCAATTGTGTCCTTGAAGTAACAAATAATATTTCCCTTACTTGTCTATTTTCTGATTCAGAACTTGCTTTAATAAACACTATTGCATTAAAAATGCCTAATACACACTACTTTCTTTGCATTTTTCATATACAAGAAAATTTACGTAAGAATTTGCAATGTAAATTGAGTAAACATTATGAAGTGTTTTATAAAGAATTTTTGTATATCAGAAATAGTCTATTTGAGAACGATTTTTACCATTGCTGGATCCGTTTATTGGAAAATTATCCTCAAGCTAAAGATTATCTTAATCATACCTTAAAACATTGTTATAAAACATGAGCAAGGCTGACAAAAATTTGAGGAAATCTCTGATAATATCTGAAGGTTAATCAAATAGAACTAAGAATAATTGACTCTGATTTAGCTGGCTAAGCCGATTTTTAAATATCAACTTAGTCAAGCTAATAAATAATAGTCAACTACAAACACTAATTTTATGCTTGTTAGAATCATCTTAAGAAGGAAAATATTTCAAAAGCAAAATTATTTTAAATAAACTAATTTATAAAAAGTTATTTGATATTAAAATTTTAAAAAAATAAATTATTTTTTGAAATTTCACAAATTAGCCAATATGTATATTAACCAAAACCTATAAAATAAATTTCTATTTAATAAAAAAGAGGAATCTTGTTTGTTGTAAGTAGCATAGTTATAATTTTAAATCCTTACTATCATTATAGCTATTATCATAATTTCTAAGATACCTGCTCATTACTTAAAATCTTTTTGGTCATTTGGTAAACTACCTAACTTTTTAGAAACTACATTATTGTTTTCAGACTTTTAGCTCAGAGGCAGTAATATAATTTCTGAAGAGTTAAATAATTTATCAGATAACCAAAAAGATTTTGGATAAAGAGTAAGTGTTCTAGAAATTATAATAATAGCTATAATGCATCTTTATAAAAAAAAAAAATCTGGTTATAAAATTTAGATATAATAAATTTGAAAATCAGATAGATATTTTTTATAGCTGTTCTTCTAAATTTTGGGGCAACTAATAAAAATTGAGATAAGTTTTTGAATCTGGTATTATCAAATTACTACAATACTGAAAATCTAATTCTAATAATACTGAGTTCAAAAACTTATCAAATTTGGCTAAAATAAATTTTATTAGTTGTTTCAAAATTTATAAAAATAGCTATAAAATAAATATCTATCTGATATCTATTTAAGTATTCAGATTTAATCATTATATTAAACTAACTTAGTCTATATTATATTAAATATATGTTTTGGATAGTAGAAACAACAAATTATTTTTAGTATAGTTTTTTTAATTTTTAAATTAAAATATCCCAACAACTAATTAATTAAATTTGTTAAATTTTTTTTTTAGGATATTTATAACTATAACTGGTGGTGATAATCACTGGCATCACGTGATCTATAATTTTTGTACTAACATAATATATTAATCAAATTGTGTAACACTTGTATTACAGTATTAACTAAATTGTGTAATGATAAGAAATCAGGTTAATGGTTACATTTATGATCTACATACCTGCATACTGTATAACGAAGAGTACTTACTAGCGTTAAAGATAAACTCTAAATTCTCTAAACCCTAACTCTACTCTAACCCTAACCTTAACCCTAACGCTTATTGGCTCTATTGACTAATTGGCTTTTATTATAATCAGTATACAAGTCAAATAGAGCCATTTTGCATCTTTAAAATTCATTTACATTTGTGTACTCTTTTGTCTTATAAAGGTTTTTGTACAACAAAAATAGAAAACTTGCTATCCTGATTAGCTCACTTAGATTTGAATATCGCTAATGAAAACCTGAAAATCTAAAAACTGATCATGTATGAAATTCATAAATAACCTATTTTAGATTTTTGGGGTTTTTACTTAGCAATACTTATTTCAAAGTTGATACTGATTTTTAATTAGCTCTGAATTAGAAGAATTTTAATTCAAGATACAAGATACAATATATTATTATTGATATACATATACACTATTAACACTAACGCCAGGCATATTTAAATATTATATATATTATAAGTAGGAACGAATCTTTAATTGAATTGGAACCACTTTGATTGGAACAAAAACAAAGCAAAATACTACATATAAATATATATGCATAATACAAATCTAATACGTAGAATTATGCCAATACAAAATCTTAATATTAATTACAAATGAATACATATCATAAACCTTGTGCTACACACATGTATAAAAAATTACTTTTAAACCTACTTATTACCAACACACTTTCGAGAATTATGACTAGGATTTCTACATATTTTACATATATATTTTCATTTAGCCGTATTTTCATTTATGCCTTGAGTTGCTTTGGTAGAACTATCAAATAAAGTATCTGCCTGATCATTTGAATTATTGTTAAGAGTATGAAATGGAGTTCTTGTTGTTAATTCAGATAAATACTGTAAATTTTGCATTTGTTGTATAGTAGTTTTTGATGCATTGCGAATATATAAATTAGAATCAACTAGATTAATTGCACTAATACTAGTTTTAGTACTATTGTGTGAATCATTTTCTGCTGATGACTTGATACGTTTATTTGGTGGACGTTCACGCCATTTCACAACCAAGGAATCCAATATATATAAATTCTCAATGTTTTCATCATTAGTAATGCTTATGTTACTTTTTTTTTGATTAATAAAGTTATCAATTATATTTATAAATTCATCTTCACAACTCATATCAAATGCTAAATTAAGCACTCTCTTTGCCTTTCCGAACCCAGATACATATTTGACTTTCTTTTGTGCATGTTGCTTAATTTCAGCCATAAAGGTGTGTAGTGCTCTAAATTTGTCGAGTATGTGCAAATCAGGAACTACTACGTAATTAGTATTAGCATTCTGAAATAATATAGTTATTCTAATGGACTTTTCTTGCAAAATAGATTGAGCATCTTGATCATATATGCTTTCTTTATACCATCATTTAGCTATAAATCCAATATTGAATTTAGCCATTTTTGAATTTATCATAACACTAAAAAAATGTGTATACACAAGTCCACAGTTGATAATAGCTGAACAAGTATATAAATGCCCTCCATCAATAAGTAAAATAATATAATGTTTATATGCGACTGTAAGTCCAGAAAGTTCCCATATCTCTAAAATATCAGTTAACTGTATTCTATCTATAAGATAATAAAGTGTTGTTTGTGGTCTATCAAGGTGATCTTTGAGAAAACCAATATCACAGTCAAGCTGACTAGGATTCTAAAAAAAAATTCATAAGCATTTCATTACTTTAAAAATTAATAATTACTATCATTATAATGTACCTCTTGTATAGCATGAATTGTCTCCCTAGGAATTAACATTGCACGATATAATAAAGACCCAAGTATTTGTTGGCGTTAAATAGATAGAATATGAGGAGTTAAATATTCTTTAAGTAACTCGATTACCTCTAGAAATACAGATTCAATAATAGAAGGCACTTGATTAACCAGAAGATATTGAAGATACAAATTATGTCAAGCCCATTTAGCTTCATAATCCAACAATCTTTGTATTGTGTCGTGTAAATTATATAATGAATATGAGCTACTAATACCATTTTTTATTATTCTATTTATCATTTCGACCCTTTGCATACTTTGAATTCCAGCTATGAAGTATTTGACTTGATAACATTTTGCCCACGCTTTATAACAATGTTT